CCTATTGAACAGTTTTGACAAGTTGTCTGGAAATAAATATTCTTACTCTATTGATCTGTGTGAGCCTCCTTGTCCCAGTACCACATTGTCTTATCGTTGATTTTTAGTAACTTTTGAAATTGGGAAATGTGAACCCTCCTGGTTTCTTTTTCAAGATTGATTTATCCATATTGAGTCCTGGCAAATTCATAAAGTTTTTGAAGTCATATTCTTCAAAGAATTCAGGTGGTTTTCAGATAGAGATTGCGCTGAATCTAGGAATCAAGAAGCTGAGGCAAAAGGATCTTGAGTTACTACATAATGACTTTATGGCCAGCCTCCTGGCCTACTAGGAAGACCCTGTCTCAAAAATAACACAATGTAAAAAAATAGTATTAAATATTCTGACCTTGAAACATGCGATTTTTTTCCTTTTAAGTAGATCTTTAATTCTTTAAAAAAGATATGCTAGTTTTCAGAGTATAGGTTTTACATTTATTTTGTTAAATTTATTTCTAAGTGGGTTTTAGATGGTGGTGGTGGTGTTTGTTTGTTGTACTGCGGATTGAGCGCAGAGCCTTCACCATGAGGCACATCTCTAGCCCTTTTTTTTTTTTTTTTTTTTAATTTTAAGACAGGAATGTTCTAAGTTACTTATAGGCTGGGCTCTAATTTGCAGTACTCCTGTCAGCCTCCCAGAACCCTGGGATTCCGGATGTGAGCCACCTCACCCAGCACTATTTTACTGTTTTTATAGTGTTATGCATGAAATTTATTTGCTTAATTTCCTTTTTGAATAGCTCATATACATAGAAATACAAGTGATTTTTGTGTATTTTTTTTTTTTTTTTTTTGGTACTGGGGATCAAACTCAGGCCCTTGCGCTTGCAAGGCAGGGAGCGGAACCACTGAGCCAAACCCCTAGCCCCTTGATCTTCTGTTTTATAACTTTAATGAATCTGTTAGCTCTAATTGCTTTCTGTATTCTTTAGGAGTTTTATATTATATGTATAAGATCATATCATTTTAGAAGAGAGCTAGACTGACTGACTTCTTCCTTTCTGATACAAATGCTTCTTTTTTTCCTCCCTAATTATACTGTTACAAACTAGTGAAATATTGAACAAAAATGAAAGCAGACATACTTATGTTGTTTCTGATCTTAGAGGAAAGGCTTTCAGTCTTTCACCCTGAAATATGATGCTATGTGTCATATACATATATGACATTATTGACCCATATGACATTATTGTTAGACATAATACCAGATTTGGGATTTTTTTAGTATTTTGTTAAGGATTTTTGTGTTTATATTCATAAGAGATACTAGGCTGTGGTTTTTCTATGACATCTTTACTTTTGGAGTCACAATAAGATTGATTTTATAGGGCCGGGGATTTAGCTCAGCGGTTCAGTGGCCTGCCTTGCAAGTTCAATATCCGGTACCCCTCGCAAAAAAGAATGACTTTATAAAATGAGTTGAGAAATATTCCCTCTGTAGTTTTTTTTGGGGGGGGGTGGTACCAGGGATTGAACTCTCCTGACCTTGCACTTGCGAGGTGGGTGGCAGGGCCACTGAGCTAAATCTCTGGCCCTCCCTCTGTGTTTTGAAGGAGTTTGTGAATTAATATTCTTTAAATGTGTGCAAAAATTCAACAATGAAGCTATCTGGATCTTGATTTACTTTCTGGGTAGTTTTTTGTTTGTTTGGTTCTTTGTTTTGTGGTACTGGGGATTGAACTCAGGACCTTGTGCTCACGAGGCGGACAGGATGCCACTGAGCTACATCCCCAGCTGTTTGTTTTTGTTTTTGATAACTCATTTAATTCCTTGTCAGTTTTTCTAGTTTGTGTATTTCTACTTTTGTGTATTTTCATTTTAAGTTTTCTAGTTGATTGACATAAATTTAATGGTAATATTTATCTATAATCCATTCAGTAAGGAAGGCCATTCGATGTTCTTTCACATAACCAGTCTTTTGTTTCATTGACTGTATTTTCGTTACTTTTACTTTGTGAATTGCTTTAATTTCTAGCTTATTAATTATTTCCATTCTGCCTGCTTTAGTTTATTTTTTAATTTTATAAGGTATAAAGAGGTTATTGGTTTGTGTTTTTCTTTTTTAGTGTGGGCATTTACAGATATAAATTTTTCTCTAAGTGCTATTTTAGCTGTCTTCTAAAAGTTTTGGTATGTTGTGTTTTCATTTATCTCAAATATTTTCACTTCCTCTTTTTTTTCTTTTATTTGCTTCACTTTTTTTTCTTTTGGTGAAGTATTATTCATTTTCCCTTTTGAGTTTTTCTTTGGCCTCTTGCCTATTTCCTCTTGTGCCTATTTTCTTTTTAGGGGTATTTAGTTTTTATGTATTTATAAGTTTCCGAATTTTTTTCTATTATTAGCTTCTAATTTCATTCGATTTTGAATGAAAAACATAGATTTTATTATTTATGTCCTTTGAAAATATACTGTGGTGTGTTTTATGGCCTGGAAAATGGTCTCTCCTAGAGAATGTGCATGTGCTTTTAGAGAGAATGCATCTTTTGTTATTGACTTGAGAGTTAGGCTAGGGCTAGTTGATCTATATTGTTCAAGTCTTCCATTTCCTTAATGATCTTCTGCCAAGCTATTCTACCCATTATTGTAAGTGGATTATTAAAGTCTCCAACTAGTATTGTTAAATTAATCTAGTCCTTTTCTGTCAGTTTTTCTGTGTATTGTTTTGCTGTTATTGGAAGCATATATGTTCATAGTTGTTACATCTTCTAGATAAATTAACCTTCCTATCACTGTAAAGTGTCCCTCTTTGTCACTGGTAACATATTTGAAGTATATTTTGTCAGGATTTATATACTTACTTTAACTTTCTTGTGGTTGATGTTTGCTTGATACTTCATTTCTCATCTTTTTACATTCAATGTGTATTAATAATTTAAAGTATGTTTCCTTTGAGCATCATATGGTTCAATCTTGTTTTCATATCCATTTTGATTATCTGTGCCTCTTGATTGAGTTATTTAATTCATTCATATTTCGTGTTATTGATATAATTGGATTTATGCCTGTCATTTTAAATTTATTTTTGTGTCTCGTACCTTTTGTGTTCCTTTGCTCTTCCTGTAGTGTTTTCTTGGCAATAAGTGAACATTTTCTTAGATGTCTTAATTACTTTTCTTGTAAAGTAGGAAAGGTTTATTTCATCTCAATGTTTGTAGAGGTTTCACTTCATAGTTGGCTGGCTCCAAGGCCAGGGTGGCATGGCAGAGGAGAAACAGTCCATAACAGGGTAGCAAATAAGGCAGCATCAGAAGCAGCAGCAGCAAGCCTCTCTTTCCATTTTATCCTGCCCATTCTATAAGCCTTTGGATGATGCCACTTACACCCAGGAGAGGGTTTCTTATTACCCACATCCAGAACTATGCTAAACCAATTAGTGAACTAATGCAGTACCACTCCTTTAATCCCACTAACATACCTTTAATCTACATTCACACACCTTAGACCCAGCCACCTCTAAAGGCCCATCTTTGACCACATGAGGGTTTCCGAGCACATCTAGACATAAGCCATGATATTGGGAAACACTTAAAAATTTCTTTTGTGATGTCTTTACCATATTTGAGGGGTTTTTTTAAAAAATATTTTTATTGATTGCTCCAGGACTTAAACTATTTTCTGATTTATACAAGCTTAATTCCAATGAGATATAAAAATGTAACTCCTGTGTTGCTCTCTTCCATTTTCCCTCTTTTACTGGTATCATTCGAATGCCTACTGCATCTGTAACATTATAAACCCAACAATAAATTATTGTTACTATTTCTTTACCACTTATTTCCCAGTATACCACTGCTTCCCATATACTATTTTTGTGTTTTTGTATTATATTTCTATATGTTACCAACCCAATTGTACATTTTATATCTATGTAATATATGATCTGTCCTGGAAAATAGTCTTCATGCGCTTGAAAAGAATGTTTATTCTACTCTTGTTGGGTTGAGTGTTCTGTAGATGTCACTCAGGTTTATTTCTTTATATTTTTATTTAAGTCTTTAAGGCATAATATTTAAACATTTTTTCTAAATCATTTAAGGAAAGAAAGGAAAAATAGGCATTTATATTGTCTTACTACCTTTTCTGATGAATTTTGTTTTTTAATTTAGGTTTAAAGTTTAGGGTCACTTGCTTTCAGCCTGAAATTTCTCTACTAATATTTTTTGTAAGGCATATATGCTAGGAACAAATTCTAAGGTTTTATTTATCTGGAAATGTTTTATGTTATCTTCATTTTGAGATATAACTATGCTGCGTATCAGAAGGGTTTTTAGCATTTGGATATCTTATCTATTGCCTTTGTCCCTTCTTATTTCTGTAAGAAAATCGACATCAAGAATGAAAATAAATTCTAATTACTTCATGAAATAAGCCAGGTATGGTGGTGCACACCTGTAATCCCAGCACTCAGGAGGCTGAGGCAGGAGGATCGCTGTGAGTGCAAGACCAGCCTGGGCTACATAGTGAGTTCCAGGTCAATCTCAAATATATAGTGAGACCCTGATTCAAAAATCCAAAAATAAATAAATAAATAATCACTTCATGAAATAGTATTTTCAGTTCCTTCTTTTTTAAAAAAATTATATTACTAGTCACTATAGGCTACAGTAAGGCAAGTAACAAAATGCTGCAAATGATTATGTTTAAAGAAACGAATGTGCCCCAAATCTGTTTATCAAAAGGATTAGTGGTCTTTTGAAATAAGAGCCACAGTCACGTGAAGAAAAGCTTGATAATTTTAATGGAAGCACAGAATACATACTTTTGTTTGTGAATAGCAGGCAGAATTGTCCTAACAATAAAAATGTTAGTAGTTGTTATGATGCGGTCGGTAACTTCCAATCATGAACAGTGTTGAGTCTGAATATTATAGAGAAGTTTTCTGCAAGGTGTGACCTATTGGCTGAAATATGTCATGCAGGCATGTCTTTTTAAATTTTAATATTTTTATGTTTCTTTTGTAGGCTGGGCTTTTCCATAAAGATGTAGAAGCTTTTGAAGAAGAATATGAAACGGTTTCTCTAGTAGATCAATCACAAGTCAGTCTCTATGAATATTTTCATATATCTCCTATCAAGGTAGGTGAAAAATGTAATTTTTTTCTCTGATAATCTAGATAATAGGAAATTAATTTGATCTCATCAGTGGGATTAGCAATTTAATTATGTTTTCCATAGGGTAGAAATCTTGGAGCTTTAAAGTTACAAATATAAATAAGTAATGAATGATATTTTTTAAACTTTTTAAATAGGTCTTCACCATGTGGAAATAATAATAATCACCTACAACATGTGTTTGTATATTTATATCTTTAACAGATTATTTCACCTTCATTTTGTGTTAAAGCTATGTTGGTGACAAGTTTCAAAATGTTCGATATTGTGTATTAGTTTTAATTTATCAAGCATATTTGACAGGAAGAAAAGGTGTAAAGGGTAGGAGGAAATGGGATAAGTAGGGGAAAGAAGGAAAATAAAAACAAATGAGAAAAGGAAAAAATAGAAACAATGTCTTTGTAAATAAGGAGGGGTGGAAGAGTTGAAGGGAGGGCAGGGAATGGGGAAAAAATAAGAACCAAGATATATCATGTAAAGGTATAAATTCCCAATGATGGATGTCATCATATTGTAAACCTAAAATGTACCAATACACTTAATGAAAAAATAAAGTGTATTTGATTTAGGAATTAGAAATTGAATAAAATTAAATTTACTTTAAATAGTTTAAGGTACTGATAATACTAGAAGGAAATTATTGCATAATCATATGGAATAAGTATGCAGTATGACACAAAAGTGATTTTTAACAGACTTCATAGTAACTTAATTCTAATATTTGAAATGTATACTTTTGGTGATGTTTATTTTCATCAGCCTAACCTACTAGGCTGGTATTATTATTAACAAATGTATAAAAGTGAATATTTTCCTGTTTATCAAAAAATAGAATTGAACTAAATATAATCATGTGGCTAATTTAAAGATTTAAGTAAAGCTATGTTGAATTTAAACTTGCTTTTAACTTGCTACTTAATAATTTTGACATAATCCTGTTAACTTTGAAATCTTTATGGTGTGAATTTAAAATAACACTATCTTTTTAAGTTAAAATTATCGGTATGAAAATGTGCTTTAAAATATTTATCCCTTTATGTCTTTAGTTGCATCTAAGTGTTTCACTGAGTTCGGGTAGAGAAGAAGCTAAAGATTCAGAACAGCATGGAGGACTGATTCCATTTCATTCTTTAAATCTTTTGCTGAAGAGTATTGGTGCCACCCTTACAGATGTACAAGACGTAGTTTTTAAGTATGTAACTGTTCATCTGTAAAGTGATGAACAGTCCTTTTATACTTACCTAAAAATTTTTACATGAGAAAGTATGTAAAGTATATTGTAAATCATAGCAAAATTTGGCTTTTGCCTTTAAATGGAATACAATAAAAATAACAACTTTATTTGCCCAAACTACAGAAAAATTATTAAATTATTTCCTTAAGAAAAAAAGACAGGGTATACAGTTTTATGTACTTTTAGGAAACCTGGCCTAGAGGATGCCTAAAGATAGATGATACTTGAAAGATGTGGCTTCAAAAGTCCATAAGATCAAAGCTTTTCAAAGAAAGTGTGACTGAGCCAGAATAAAGGCATTAATGGAAAAAATTAAAGAGATCAGTTTAAACCTAGTCAAGAATTTACATTTGAGGCCTGGGATTTAGCTCAGTGTGCCACCGTCTGCCTCCCAAGCGCAAGGACCCCCGTTCGATCTCCAGTATCAACCCCCTCAACCCCCTCAAAAAAGAATTTACATTTGAATGTTAGTCGTAATGGAAGCTAATCAAATATCTGACCAGAAACTCAATGAGTCTGAATGGGGACTTTAGAAAAGTATGATCTTTTTAGATAGACTTTCTATGTGGTTATTAAAAAGCAGTAGTAAAAATTAGTACTTATATGAGCTAATTCTGAACCTAAATAAAGTTATTTAACAGTCAAAAGAATATATGTTTCATGTCAGTAGAATAGGATGAGATATCTAAACTTGCTACTGTCGTATTCAGCAATAAGAAATATAGAGCTTCCCAATTATTGGATCCAGGTATATGCTGTGAATGGGTTTTTAAAAGTTAAGCTGATTTGTCTCCTCAGCTGTCAGCCCATAGGCAGGACTTTCAGCAGTTGGAGCTTGGCCTTTTGTTTTTGTTTTTTTGGTCTATGTGTGTATTGTATGAGTTGCTAGAGTTTAAACCCGGGGCTTTTACAGTGAGCTACATCACTGGAGGTCCTCCTTGATGTTGTTGTTGTTGTTGTTGTTGTGTTGGAGGAGAGGATAGCATCTTGCTGATAAGTTGCCTAGGCTGGGCATAAACTTTGATCTGTTTATCTCCACCTACCAGAGTGCTTGAATTACAAGCACTTAACCTCAGACATTCTTATGCAGTCTCTTCTTTTTACTTCAATATGAACATTTTCTGTGTGAGTCTTAGAATTAGGATATAGTTCTAAAGGTCTGTGATGGACTCCCAAGGGTCTCTGAATCCCTTAAATATATGAAAATTTGTGGATATTGATGACATTTCAGAATATAAGGTCCATGAATTTTATTAGACTCGAGTTTGTTTTGACTAGAATGTACAAAGATATACATAGAAAACTGTACTAGAAGGAAAGATTTGGAGAAAAATTTAAAAAGAAAGTAAATTAACTCCTCAATGCTTTTTCTCTTTCTCGATTTCATAATCTCTACGTATATGTGTTTTTATATACTTGTTTTTCAGGCTTGCCTTTTTTGAACTCAACTATCAGTTTCATACCACATCTCAACTACAGTCTGAAGTAATAAAACACTATTCAAAACAGGTTTGTCAGATTATTTTACAAATAGAATAACAGACTAGTAAAGCTTTATGTGTCTGTTCATGTGTTCTCAATATAGATTTTTCATAGAAACAAATATCAATTTTCAAAATATTAAAGCATGAATTTTTTTTCTCAGAATTATAGAAACAAACTTGAGCCCAGCCAAAACTTCATTTTATTTTGTCCTTATATTTTTAGTCACTGTCAGAAATTTTTTCTGAGTCAGTATGGATTTGTAATCTTTATTAATTCACAACACTTATGTTTTAAAATGCAGTCATTAATATTTTATGATACAACTTAGTATCTGAGTTAGTTGTGATGTAATGGACAAATCACTGAGCATGACTCAAGAAATCTGTATATTGATCCCACTTTTGCCATATATCTACTTTGTGACCCTGAATGTCATTTGACCCAATTTCTAAAATAGTAGTAGTAGTAGTAGTAGTAGTAGTAGTAGTAGTAGTAGTAACTGTCATAAATAATTATACAAGTGAAAGAATTTTTGATATTTTTATGGAAATATTTATATATAAATATAATGTCATAGACTCTGGTTGTAACACCAGATTGCTCTTTAAACTAAAAATGGTGATGAATTGGTGGTATGGGCTTAATATTGAAATTGATAGTGAAGATGTTAGCCTGAGGACACTAGATGGGTGTACTAATCTATAAGAATAATAGGTCTTAATTATATGAATTGATTAATGTTCATATTTCATTTTTAGGCCATTAAGCAGATGTACGTACTCATTCTTGGACTTGATGTTTTGGGAAATCCCTTTGGCTTAATTAGAGAATTTTCAGAAGGTGTAGAGGCATTTTTTTATGAACCTTACCAGGTAAAATAATTTTCTAGCATTATATAATATATCAAATTACTACTCTTAAATACATAATGCATTTCTGTTGTTAACTTGAGCTGTGGGTATAAATAAGTTTTGGGAGATATACAAAATATTACTACTTTTCAGCAAACACTAAGGTTTGGGGGCACTTTGGGAGGAAACTTCTACTTTTTTTTCTCAAAATTTAAATTTAACACATTTATGCCAAAGATTGAAATTTTTTCTGAAATTCATGTATGCTATCCAAAGAAATTCAAGGAACAAGAATTTGAAGAGAAATTCATTATATTTTGTTGTTATGAATGTTCTAAAAATGGAACACTAGGCGTGGAAGGGTTAAGATTTTTGTTAAGTTACACTGAATTTTAAGCGTTCTTTTGGAATATAAAGTGTAGATACAATTCAGACTATAACAGAAGGAAGATCACCATGTGTGAGTAAGCTTGATTTGCACAGACATGTGGAACTATAAATAGAAGTTGGTACTGTGCACCGTAATCTTAATAACCATTGGATAAAAGAATATGATTATTTGACATTTCTTCAGACTTTCCATCAGAACATTCACTACTCTCACATTTTTAAAAAAATTTTATTAGTATATGTTTTTATATAGTGATTACATTCATCATGGGAAGTTGGTACATCTACATATCTTAATCCCCCCCAATCTCTTGGTCTCTTTCCCATTTGCAAAACATATTTTCTACTGTCTTTTACTTTGCTTTTCATTTATACTTTTGGTTTCTCATATAAGAGAAACATGATATTTAAGCTGAGTGGGATTTATTTCACTTAACATTGTAGTCTTAAAGTTTATCCATTTTTCTACAAATGACTCAGACTTACCTTCTTTACTAGAGAGTAGTACTCCATTGTATATAAATACCTATTTAAATGTATAGAGTAATTAAAAATGAGGTAAAGCTAATATTTTGTATAATATTTAAAACAAAACATTAGAAACACTAAGAATTTTCAGCTGTTTTGTTTCTTTTACTTATCAAGAGTACTTGAAGTGCTTGCTTCTTTTCATCATACAATTTGCAATACAAGCAGCAGACACTTTTTTCTAGGTGTGGAACAACTTCCAACATTTTATCTTTCATACTTTCACTGTCATGAAATTATTGCTGAGAATTCTTTTTAGTGAGAAGATTTTTTGCTACTGTCACTTCCTCTGAGCCATTTTTATTCTTTTTATCACTACCTCTTCCTTCATTTACATCAATAAATTAACTTTTAAAAGTAAATACAACTTTTTGAAATTATCTTTTGTCACTATAGGGAGCCATCCAGGGTCCTGAAGAGTTTGTGGAGGGAATGGCACTAGGACTCAGGGCACTTGTTGGTGGAGCCGTTGGTAAGAAACGAAGTGCCAAGTTTGATGATGGTTGAAAGTAGCGATGTGTTTGCTTTTGCTAAAGATACTATAATTTCTATTAGGTGGATTAGCTGGTGCTGCCTCAAAAATCACTGGTGCTATGGCTAAAGGTGTGGCAGCTATCACAATGGATGAAGACTACCAGCAGAAAAGAAGAGAAGCCATGAATAAGCAGCCAGCTGGTTTCAGAGAAGGGATCACTCGTGGAGGAAAAGGCTTGGTTTCTGTAAGAAATTTCTCAAAGTTGAGGACATTATATAGAACAGGTTTTAAACCTACATAGTGATTGAGGAAATAGGCATAATTCTTACTTGTTAAATTGTTATTTGGATGTTGTCAGAACAGTGAGTAAAACTTATCAGGGGTCTTCAAAAAACATTCTGTTTAAGGGCTGGGCATTTAGCTCAGTGGTTCCACTGCCTGCCTTGCAAGCGCAAGGACCCGAGTTTGATCCCTGGTACCAAAAAAAAAAAAAATCTATTTAAATAGATTACTTAGAAATATGCTAACATGGTATATAAAAAGAACTGTTTGTTTTATTTTCAGCTGGTCTTGGTTCTTCCAAGGATCATATGAAAGTAATATAAATTTTCAATTTTTGCTTTCCTTGTAGGGTTTTGTAAGTGGCATTACAGGAATTGTTACGAAACCAATCAAAGGCAAGTATAACTGTACATTTGGATGATATATTTCACAAATTGATTATATTTTCAGTCTTGATCTAGTTGCCTAAGAAGTTACTGTTTTTTTCTTTCTAGGGGCTCAAAAAGAAGGAGCAGCTGGTTTCTTTAAAGGTGTTGGGAAAGGTTTAGTGGGAGCAGTAGCCAGACCAACAGGAGGCATCATAGACATGGCTAGCAGTACATTTCAGGGAATAAAAAGGTAAATTATTTTTGGTGTGACATATGAATAAAATATATCAACTATGAGAAATTAAATATATCTTCTCTTTGGCTTTGAGCACTTAATTATGAATACTATAACATGGCAAGCTATGTAGTGTTTCCTCATTCATTTTCATTTTTAAAGTTGCATCTTGTCCTGTCAGCTTTGTACTTTATCCTTAATTCACAGTACCTGCTTTCAGGGATGGATTGACAAGTTAAACAAGCTTTCGCATTATCCTAATTAAAATATATCCATGTAATGTTATGTGTCTGTTGTAAAATTAGCAAATTATTCTGTATCATTTCTTTTATTTTAATAATCAAGTAAAACAGCTTTATATAGCTGGAAGGGAGTATGAACCAATTTTGCATGATCTTCATGTAATCTGTAACCTAAAGAAATGACTCATTCTTAAGTTTCCATACTACTTTTTTATGGATCTGTATCCGTTCTTGAAAAAAAATAGTATTTTATATTACTTGGTTCAAGCTCAGTTCATCTTCACCCTTCCCTTATCATATATTATTATTAAACTTATATGCATTCCTTTTCTCATTGTATGTTTCTGCTTTTATAATAATTTAGAATTAAGGTAGGGAAAGTGATCAGTCTCCTTTACTTGTAATTGTAGTTTTATAAATATGATGAGTTGAATTATAGCCATCAGAGGATCTCAAACGCCTGGAAAACAAGGATTTTAAAATAGACAGATACCCAGGCTTCTGCCCAAAGCAGCTAGAGTTACCTTCTGTTTAGCTAAAACCTTGTCACTCTGTACCCAACACATTGCTTGTTGAGACAAAGGGAAAATTAAACGTTTTTCAAAAAACAATAATTGAAAAGTATTAAAGGATATGCTTGTGGAGAAAGACATTGAAACCAAAAGGAAAAATGGCCTAAGAATCAAAGATGAAATATAAATTAGTAAATAAATATAAGTTGTATGAAAACAATATTTAAAGGACCAAATTAATACAAAATAACAAAGTGCAATTTGGGAAGAGAATAATTGTCATCAAGCATTCAAATGTCTTACCATTTGTGAAGATCATATTTTTATTATTAGATGAAACAGATTTTAGGGCAGAAACATTTTTGGAATGAATAGCTAATAAAAATAACCACAAAGATGATAGTTTTCAACTTCTATGTAGTTCACAAAATAACTGAACTTTTTATGAAGGAAAACTTGGTGAAATTATAAGAACTTCCGAAGTGTATAATAATGATGGGAGAATTTAACACTTCACTCAATTTTGGTAAATCAAAATGACAAAATTAAGTAAATACACGATTTAGACATTATAAGATATTTACACATAAACGTTATGTTTCTATAATACATAGTTATTAGACACTTTGAATTCTTGAGAAGCCAGCAGGGGCCATAATTTGTCTATTTTCCTGTCTTCATAAAGCCACATTTTAGTGGGAGCAAAGTAGACAAAAAAGGTGTATTTGGTAAATATATGATATGCTAAATGGTAAAAAAATGTTATTCATGAAGGAAATGTTTCAAAGAGATAGAAACAAAGGGGTGGCGAAGAAGAAATTATTATATATATATATGATGTTGAGAGTTGCTTCAGTATGAAGATTACATTTCACAGTATTCTTTTACAATACTTTTATTTCTGTGAATTTGGTAATAGTGTCCCCTGTTTCATTCCTGATATCACTTGAATCTTCTCTGTTAGTCTACTTACGTTGACCTTTTCAAACATTTTTTTTACTTCATTGATAATAATTTTTGTCTTCTGTATTATTTATCTCTGTTCTACTCTGTATTTTCTTCGTTTACCAGTTTTAGGTCTGGTTCACTTTCCTTTTCCTACTTCCTTGAAGTGTAAAGTTATACTACTTATTTTTAGATCTTTTTTAATTTAGGCATTCAAATCTATAAATTTACCTCTCAGCTATCTCTTTGCTCCATCTCATAAGGTTTGACATACTGTTTTTGTTTTTGTGTGCCATAAGGTAGTGAATTTCCTTTGTGGTTTCTCCTTTGACCTTTTCATTATCTAGGCTTCTGTTATTTTTTTAATTTCCAATTTTTTTTAAGTTTTCACGTTTCTTTCTTACACATCTCAGTTTTATCCTGTGTGGTCAAATAATATATTTGTGTTTTCAGTACTTTTGTATTTATTAAAACATGTTTTAAGACTTTTTGTTTTTATTTTTTAGTTTTTTTGAGATAGAGTCTCAGTATGTAATTCAGGCTGGTATTGAACTCATTATATAGCCCAGGCTAGCCTCAAACTCATGGGGATCCTCCTGCTTCAGCCTCCTGAGTTCTGGGATTATATGTGTGTGCCACCACACCTGGCTTAAGGCCTTCAAAAACATTCTGGGGCTGAGGATTTATCTCAGTGATTCTGCTGCCTGCCTTGCAAGTTCAAGGTCCAGAGTTCAATTCCTGGTACCAAAATAAATAAATAAATAAAACTATTCCAGAGAGTGTTCCATGTGCATGTGAGAGAATATATCTTCTGTTGTTGAGTATTGTATAGATATTTGTTAGGTCTGGGTAGCGTGAAGTGTTCTTCAAGTCTTTTGTTTCCTTGCTATTTTGTATTCATTAGTGAAATTGGAGTACTTACATTTTCAACTATTATTGAATTGTCTTATCAGTTTTTACTTTATGTATTTGGAGGTTCTTTTGTTAAGTGCCTGTGTGTTTATAATTTTTATATCTTCTGGTTGGTTTGACTCTTTACTCACTATAAAGTATTCTCTTTGTGTACACTGAGAATTGCTTGTTTAAATATTTTGTTTTGGTATTAGTATAGCCATTCCAGCTCTTTCTTTTTAATTGCTTTTAAATGACATATCTTTTCACATCTTTGTATTTTCTCCTATTTGTGTCTTTGATGCTACAGTAAATCTCTTGTGGACAATATACAGTTGGATCATTTTTGTTTGATTTTGTTTTGTCTATTCTGCTTTTAATTGGAGAATTTATCCATATATATATATCCATGACCCTACAGGCGAAAATGTTAAATAGAATATTACTGTGCCAAATTCATGGATGTGTGTGTTTAATATAGCACACATCAAGCCCAATTAGAAATATAAGAGTATTTGAACACTGGAAAACATTGCCATGTGACTTCTAACATTAATAGGTTGAATAAGATGAAGCATATGATTACAACAATGACTAGGAGAAAACCTCAATTTAAAATTCATTGCCCATTCGTGAGTTTTAAAGATAGAAATAACAAAAAAAGATGAAATATAATCACACTAAAAGTAGACATAAACTTCCTAGGCTTGATAAAGGATATTAAAAAAAAAAAAACATTGCTAATATGTATGCTTCATGGAGATCTCAGCTTTCCCTATAATGTCAGAAATAAGGATGCCTACAATCCTCCTTTGTATCTAGAATAGTGCTAGAGAAACTAGACAACAGAAAAGGAAAACAAAACAAGTTAAAGATTTTAAACTGAGAAAAGTAACACTGTCATTTTTTGATGCTTTATTGTCGCAAAAAAAAAAAAAATCCAGGAGAATCTACTAACATATTTCTTTATACTTTTACAGATTTCTAGATAATTCAATTATATAATAAAGACAAACTTAAAACTAGGGAAGTGATGTGGTATTCTTATTTTATTTAAAAGAAGATTCTTGTTAGTAGTTGCTTTTATAAGTTGAATGATTTTTTTAAGTCAAGTTTTTTGTTTGTTTCCTCTAGAGCTACAGAGGCTTCTGAAGTAGAGAGTCTACGACCTCCTCGATTCTTTAATGAAGATGGAGTTATCAGACCTTACAGATTGAGGGATGGTACTGGAAATCAGATGTTACAGGTGAGTAAGGAGACAGAAATTAAAATTAAATTAGTCAAGTTAGATCTTTTAAAAATAGGTATGTAATGCTTTAATATTAGATTGCTTGGATTTTTATGTTTTGCTTAGTTTCATTTATAAGTTAAGCTTTCAAGTATATTTATGTACTATAAGATTTTTTTCTTTTTTACAGGCATCAAAAAGTTTGATATGAAAACATTTAATGCATGACTTTGCAAGTAAAAGCCAACAGATTTTAGTCTTAAAATTTTTACAAATTGCATACACCTGTTTCACTATTTTGGATATTTTTTAAAGGCTTTTGTATTAATAATTTTAATAGAAATTTTAGTATATCTGATCTTTTTATAGATTATTCTTAGTTCTGCACTAGATCTGCTAGATTTGTTGAAAGCCAGAGTGCCTTATATACTCTTCTAGTTGGTGTTATTTAGCCAGTTAAACTATTTCTTTTGGGATTCTTCCTTGTGTTTATCATACCACTTGTTTTTATATCACATACAATGCTTACCTCCGGATAGACATGACAAATAAAAAACAAAACTCAGGAAAAATTTGCAGATTATTCATGAGTTCTTATGCTTTGCTTTTCAATATACCTAATGGCTATGATCTTTCTGCTTTGTAGTATATGTAAACTTTATGAGATTTGATACTCAGTTCACACACAAATCAGTATCTTTTACTAAGGTTAGCTTTTGGAAAAATAGCTTGTTTTATTTACACAGGCCACTTTCTTAATAAATTGAACTTTTAAAAGTTTGCATTATGGTGTCAGTAACTTAATCATACATGAGACCATGCCAGTGCAAAGTTGTTTCTGGGGTGTACAGGTATTAAGCTATGTTAAATAAACCATTTTGTTTGAATAAATTAAGAAGGTATGTTGTATAGACTTGAAAATGATATTTATACATCACCACTATGTAGAACTTCCTTTATGCCTTTGAACCAGAGTAAAGGTTTAAAACTTCAGTATTTCACCCACTGCATGCAGAGCATATAATACTGCATCTGTCTGGTCCTTCTATTAGTATATTATATCCATAAAGCTAATATACAGGATTAGCTAAAGTAACTTGAAAATGTTTTTAGAGCATCAAAATACTTGTATTTGGGTTAGAATTGGCATTATTGAAAGGTTGTGCTTTGAAGGACATACCATGCAATCTGTACAATGATAGTATATCATCTTTGAAGATAGAAACATTGCAGAAATCACCTATAGGTAATACAGTTGAAAAGTTTTACCCAGTACTTGCATTCCCTTGTTAGAGCAGTTAACATGCCACTAACATTTTACTGATTAAAGCTGAATGATTTTCAAATCACTTTTTAAAAAAACTAAATATGTATCTTAAGAAACTATTTTAATAAATTTATTAGGAGGTAAGGAAGAGTAGTGAGAATTTAGAAATATGCAGTGAATATATGGTAACTCAGGAAATATGAGTTACCAAAAATTTCATGTGATTGATATTTTAGTGGCAAATAAATTTATTCTACACCTTTATTGTTTTTTGAAGCTCTGAATTTTGGGATACACAAGCCTTTCTATTTTTAAAGAATCATATTTTTAGTAGGCCAGAAGAGCAGATTCAGTGGCTAAAATCTCATCATTTTTGTCAGCCATTCCTTATTTTTCAGCAGGAGTATTAAGTACATTAGTTATAGAACCTGTAGGAATTCATGAGATGTGTTTGCATGTTTTCATTTATCATTATTCCTTTACAGGTGTAAGAAGTGGATTTGTTTTTTAGTGTCATTAGTGCTATTTAAATCAAAACTCAATGGCATTATTAGCAAATGTGTTGAACCATATGAGTACCAATACTTTGAAAAATAATTAGATGACATATAAACTGGATTTAAAGTCTCACCTAAAGGATGATGGTGCCTTAGAAAATGTTTGATGCTTTCAAATGTTTGTCCTTTTATTTTTTCATTTCCTGAAAATAATTCTGTGTCCACTAAGTTATATATGCCCACATGTAATAATTAAATAGAAAGTACATTCTTTGATTGTATACCTTCCTTTCCAGAAAGCAGCACATTATTATAATGCTTCCTAGTAATCAAAGTTGCCACTAGAAAATTAGCATTATACTATTGAGTGTATATTAATAAACCAGTTGAGTTTAGTCTTACGCCTATTAAGTTATGGAATACTACGTCCATAATTACAACCTGAGTTACAGCTACTAATCCCTTAAACACTTCACAGTTTTACATGTTTTCCAATCAGTCTTCCATACTTTACTAACCTTTATGCTTCTCTTTCCCTTTACCATGCTTACAGAAAATTCAGGTCTACAGGGAGTGGATTATGACTCATAATAACAGTAGTGGTGATGATGATGATGATGATGATGATGATGATGATGATTAATCAGAGCTAAACTGTTAAAATGCACATATTCTTTACCATTTTACTTGGAATGTTTCATTAACATAATGACTATCATAAAGCCTGTATGTCCATTTTAGGGAGATAAAATACTTTTTCTTTTAAAATATTTTTTCTGAACATCTGTAAAGCAAAATAATTGTATTATTTAAGCACAGAAAAAATGTATTTTACATCCAATGTAGGGCATACAATATATTATAGATTTGCTTTCATATATTTCATAGCTTTGTATTATAAACTGTCTTTAAGATTTTCATGTTACACTTCAGTATGTTTTTTAATGCTCAGTAGTTTTATTTTAAATTATCTTAATTGTTAAACAAAAATGCCTTTTTTAAATTCTGTAAATTTCTGGGCTTAATATAATACTATTGTGTAAAAAGAATAGTAGTAGCCATTCACTGTATTATCTTTAATATTTTAAAGAGTTTTTGTCAACTTTCTGTTAAAAATAAACTTAAATAACTTGAAGTAGTGTGAATTTGTTATATTTCAAAGTCGTATGTGTTGGAGTACTATTATAAAAACATGTCATGGAAGATTAGACAGTGAAATAATTTGTAATAAAAGGACAAATTTGTCTTTTACTCTGATTCACTTTTTAGTATTTTATAATTTTTGTGAAATAGTGAATAAAAGTGGTTTTTACAGTCATATATTCATATGCACTGTTTTATAAAATGTTATGAATTTAGGACATTAGAAGAATGTTTATAACAGACACAATTTTGCATATGTTATGTCTCTAAAAGATTTATAAGAGAATCTTTTTTATGTTTTGTGTACTTTGTAAAATTTTCAACTTACATAACTCTAATTGTCCTGTTTCCCTAATATACGAGATGTACTAAAAAAGAAATCAAAGTCAAAAAAACCTCTAAAAAGAGAGATTATTAATAGTTACAATGCTTAATTCCTATGACTATTATACTTATGGATCAGCAAAGGAATATTTACCTTGGCTCATGATAAGCACTTTGCTTATGCTATATTAAGTTTTTATTAAGTTATAGAAGATAATTGGCTTAACTTTTGATTCAACTCATCTTTGAGTTTTTTAATTCTTTTATCAAATTTTTATTTCTATGAATCTTTATTCTTTATGTCCTTTGAAATGACTATTCTGGCTTTTAAAAATACTGAGTTTACCAAAAGCAAAAAACAGAGCAGCTAGAGTAACATTTTTGAAAGTTCTAACTACCTAACATTCATTCAAATTTAAATGAATTAAAGGAATATGTAATTATTAAGGACTAAGAAACCTGGAAATGTCAAAGAATCTAATTACTTGCATTACGATTTTTTGGATTAAGTAAATAAAAACAGTGACTATTAACAATGGTCAATACTGGAAATAGAAACAGAATTTTTATTTATCATGCACCTGCTACTCTCTTATACTGTACCTTGCAAAAATCTACTCCTCCTTCAAAAACTATTTCGTCTGGAAGCCAGAAAGTACATAACCAATCATTACAAATTGTGTAGGCTTGAGGAAGGAAAACCCTTGAAGTGTCTTCATTGGCTTCTAACATCCCAGCTTTGCTAGGCACAAGTTCTTTGTAAAGAAAAAAATATTAAACTATTCATTTTCGAGATATTTGCTAAGTTTCCTGTGGTTGATGTATGATTAATTCTGTGGCACCAGTTTCTATTTCTTAAGATTTTTATCTAGAAAAAAAGTTTTTTTCAGCAGTAGCTTGCCATTGTAATAAAAAAAAATTGGAAGTAGGGCTACATTTATTTAAAATCTCTTCATAAGTAGAAAGACAAAAATGCTGTAACTTGTTAACTTCACCATTGTGATCTTAGAGTTCCATCTTTGTTGAAATTGTCCTTAAAAGTAAAATATTTTCTTTAACAATATAATTACTCTTTTCTCTTTTTTTTTCTGCCACTGTAAAATATTCTTTTGAAACCTCTTTGACTACAGGTATTAATTAATTAGACAGTTGTAGACTACTTTGTTTTAATTAGAGAAAAACTGAAAATTTTTCTGTTGTTTTATAACATTTTTTAAAATGATACAGGACTGGACTAAAATACTTTCTTTTTTTTCAAATACACAAAAAAATGAGTTCACCTTTGAGATTCTAATGAACAATTCTTTTCTGTATCAATGGCTGTATCACTACCTAGTTACTATCTAATAGCAAAGTCTAATGAGAAAGCCATGTTTAAAAATTATGTAATAGTGCCCCTTTCCATATCTTTTATTTCCCTGATTTCTACATGATCATTGCTTACATATAGAAAATAAGAAGGAATAGTCTCTCTTCCTTAAGAAAGCAATTATGCTTAGCGGTTCTTTATTTTCACTTGTATCTGCCTTCAAATATCATACTGAATACTGGCAGGAATAAATGTTTATGTAAAAATTCTGAAATTGTACATAGCGGTGACCATGAATAAATAAGTATAAGAGCCTATTAATGAAATCAGCATTTATAGATAAAATGATTCTAGCTTTTAAAATCATTCAAAACACTGAGGCAATGTTGAGTGTTGACTTTAAGGTCATATTATTAAATGTACAGCTAAAGCCATTGTAGATCTATGATTAAGACATTAATATTCATTATGAAAAACA